GGAAGCGGAGGTTTCCAGCGGGCGGCCGCCTCAGAGGTGCCCGTCGGCCCGTCTGGCACTGTGCAAGGCCCCCGGGCGCCCAGGGCGGCTCCGTGCAGCGCCCCGTGTGGTTCCCAGAGCAGAGGGGCCGCGAGCCTCTGGGACGGTGACGTCGCCAGAGGGTACAATGGAGGCAGAGTGTCCTCGGGGGCGCAGTTTGGGGAGACTGACGGACGCGCCCCAGGCACAGGCCTGGGCCGGGCTGACTGACCACGCATCACTGGGAACTGGGGAAGGGCAGACGTGGAGGGCACTTCTGGTGCCGAGGTGGTGTGGACATTCCCCACCAAGCCCGCCCTGCGCCCTGCTGGTCACGCAGAGGCCACCAGAAGCATGGCGGCGGGGACCCAGACGGGGGCCGGCGGCACCGCCGCACGACAGGGAAAGGTGGCCGGGCCCAGCCCGTCGGCAGACAGGGGCCCGGGGCTGCGTGCCTCACGGCCAAGCGCCTGCAGAGCAGCTCCCCGTGTCTGGAGGGGGGGCCTGCCGCACAAGCCGGGGCCTGGGACCCTCCCCCCGCCCAGACACACGCGGTGGAGCGGGGGCCGAGCCCGCTGACGCAGCTCGTACCTTCAACACAACTTCCACGCACGCAGAATCCCACTGCTTTTCCACGAACACGACAAAGCAATTCTAAATCCGTTCAGAATGACAAACAGGAAAGAAAATCCTTACGTGAAAAAAGGGGCAACAGCTTCTCTACCAAACGCTGAAGCCTATTTTAAAGTTGAAGTTACTGAAAACGCGATACAGGTGAGTGGAGCGAAGCACGGGAAACGTGGACACGGACCCTGCTCAGCGCAGGGGCGGAGCAGGGCGAGGACACAAAGCCCGCGCAGGGCAGGGCAGGGCAGGGCTCCCCGACGCACAGCGCTGGGGCCGCTGCCCAGGGGTCTGGGAGGACAGCAGTTTGGGTTCTGACCTCGCACCACACACCAAGTAAGTCCCAGAAAGATTAAAACTTTAAGTATTAAAAAGCCAAAGGAAAAGAAAATCCAGAAGAAAACAGGACCATTTAACAAACCACTAAAGAACTTCCTGAGCTTAAAAGTAACAGAATCAACAGACGACATTCCAAAAAATGGTCAAGCTTTCTCTACAGAATGACCAGAAGACCCTAAAGGCTGAGCTCCCACACGACTGAACAGAGGTGAAGGGGCTCTGGCCAGAGGGGCCCCGTCCAGAGAAGGGACAGAACCCTCCTCCCTTGCTGGTGATCAGAAACGCACGTTAGAACGAGACACCCTCTTTACCTGAAATTCTCAAGGACAGCAGTGAACGACACCTTCTGGTGTGCACCCTGCAGGGTCTGACACGGGGTCGGCCACCACCACCAAGCGGCAGGGCAGCTCCGGCACCTGAGTGACGGCCCCACCGTGGCGCCTGCAGCCGCTGCTCTGTCCACCGACCGGCACGCTCTGTTGACAGAAACCGTGAGGGGCCTTGGGGACTGACTCCCTCCTCCCAGCAGTGGCCGACAGCCGCGCACGGGGTGGGCACAGTGCAGGGGCTACTTGAAGGCCGAGCAGTGCTCCACCGGCGGAGGCAGCAGCCCGCTCACCTGGTAAAGGACGTGTGGGTTGTTACCAGCTCTTGCCACGAGTGTTGCTGCTCTAAAAATGCATGAACTCTATTCCAGCAAAGATGAAAAATGTGAATTTCACCGTCTCCCACTAGGACCTACACTGGGGAGAACGCGTGGACGGCCGGACAGGGCTGCAGGCCGACGGATGCCCCGACTGCGGTAAATGCATGGACCAGGGCAGGTGGGCCGGGCAGCTTCCCTGGGAGACCCCGCCCGAGACCATGCTTGTCTCTCTGCTCAACCCCCTCCCCAACCTCCTGCCTCGATGCTCAAGTTTCCAGCACACGGATCTGCTGTCTCTGTTAGATTCAGACCCAGCAATGATGCTTTGGGGATGCGGGACAAGAACGGTCCCAGGCTGCTGATTGCAGCTCTCACAGCCTGGCTGCTGGCAGATCACACACACATACATCACACACACAGTCACACACGTGCGCAAGCACACCGTGCCGCGAGAGCTCTAAGATGCAAGGTCGGCATGCGAAATCAAAGCTGAACTCTGTGTTAGTTTTTCTAACCTTGGGATTTTCTACATTAACAGTCAGGGCATCTGCAAGGAGGAAAAGCTCTGTCCCTCCCTCTCCAAACCGCGTGCCTGTCTCTGCTGCGGCCCTGACCAGCGTCTCAGGCGTCTGGCTGGGGCGGTGAGAGCGAGCTGAGCCAGTGTCGTGCGCGTCTGCGCCTGGCAAAAGCGTGGTGCCTCTGCCAGCGCCGGGCGGCGGACGGGTGTGTGCACGCCATGCCCGGTCAGGCTGAGGGGGATCGCCTCTTGTCCTCATTTGCTGGGTTTCTACAAGTGTTGGATTTTGTCAAATGCTTTTATTCCGTCAAGTGATCAGATCACAGGGACTGGGCTGATTGCACCAACAGGCGACTGAACGCGGACCAGGCGTGCTTTCCCGCGAGAAACACAGAGACGATCCCTACAGGTTCCCTCCTCCGTCTCGTCACTGGCTTTGGAGTTAGGGTGACGTCTGCTTCAAAAATGAGCTGAAAGGTTCTCGCTTCTGCTTGCTGGGGAGCCTGTCCGACAGAGCTCCCCAGGGAAGCCACCCGGCCTGGACGGCCCTCTCCAGGGGCTCTCGGGTGAAGGGTTCCCGAGGCCGCCCGCCACACACTGGCCGGGCCCATGGCCTGCCGTCTGCCCCCGAGGCTGGCTGCTGTTGACTCTGGGCTCTGGGCCCCGCCGCCTGCATGCGAAGGCGCCCGGCTCTGCCCGCAGACGGAGAGGACGGGCGCAGGGCCTCACTCTCTGGCCCAAGTGAGAAAGAGGAGAAATTCCGCTGTGCTTTTGGCTACCCTCTTCCGCCCCGCCGCCCGGGCGGTCCCGGGAGATGCGGGCGCAGCCGGACGGGTGCTTCTCTTTGACCCATGGAGCTGTGACCCCGAGAGGCGGGCACCCTGTGGCTCCCCGCTCGGTCCCCCAGCTGCTGTTGGCCGGGAAGGCCGATGCTCCTGTGGGAGGTACCCTGTGAAGGGTCCCCTCGGGGAGTGAGAAACCGTCAGCGAGGCCTGAGGGCGGGGACTCGGGGAACGGTCCTGCCGTGTCGCACGCCTCAACGTGCCTCTGCGCTGGGCGTGTGGCCGTCTGCCCCCGACCACCATGCCGAGGCTGCAAGGACGGGCCGCACCGAGGGAGCCCACGCGGCTGACGCCAGCGGCGCGGCATGGCGTCGGGACAGACCGTCCGCGGAAGCCTGGCCCGGGAGGCAGAGCGAGGTCGACGTTCCCCACCGCATTTCAGAAGGACCTACAGTCTCGTGACGTGATATCTGAAATCTCCAGAACACGACAAGAACCAGGGAAACACAAACCTGTTAAGAAAAACGCAGCCGAGGGCACCAAACCCGAGATGGCGAGAGGCTCACTTATCAGACGCCCCGAGCAGTGACTACAAATGTGTCCTCAGGTTGCCACAGACCACTCAGCCACGACTCAACAGAGGTGGGCGGCAGCCCCTGACGCTACGCTGTCACCTGCCAGGGTGACCCCCTGAACCCACTCGGACGGCGTGTGTGCGTGGTGTGCCTCCCCGGCCTCCGCCTCTACACCCCGTCTGACGCAGGGACGGTCTGAATGACTGCATGACCGCCTCACGGAGGCTGGAGGGACAGGCGGCTGGTCTGCAGAGCGAAAGGAAAGGAGCTGCCAGCCACAGCCGCACGCGCGGGAGAGACGGGCTCTAGTGACAAGGGCGGGGCGGAGATGGCGCTGGACGGCGGGGGCAGCCAGTCCGTTTGGGCCCATGAACACGTGAAGGGTGTGTGCCCGTGCAGGAGTGACAGGGCTGTGCCACGTGCACGTGTCCTGACGGGACGTGCACACGTGCGTGAACATGTGCACAAGCACTCGTGTGTGCACGCCCTGTGCTCACTGCTCGTAACCCCAACGTGTGGCCAGAGAAGCAGCTGCTGGGCGAACGCAGCTTGTGCTTCTAGTGCCGAGGGGCGCATGGTGCTGCTGGCGTCACAACTGGACCCCACGATGGTGCGTGAACCCTGAGTCCCATGAGACACTGGGCTGAGGGTCCTGGGGAGAGTCGCGGGCATGGGGACGAGACTGCTGTGTAGGCTTGCGCCGGGGCTGGCGCCGGGGCTGCTGGTCTGTCTCACATCCCGGTCGAGGGAGGCGACGTGGGGAGGGGCGCAGCGGGGAGCTCAGAGTCTGATCCCAGCGCCCGACCTCACAACCCAGGCCGGACCCCAGCCTGTGCACGGGTTCCGTGCCGAGGGCCATCGGCCACCGCCGTGACCTCGCCAGGCTGTGACCACGGACCTCGGGCCCTCTGAGAGAGGAGAGGGCGAAAGCAAGTGGGGAGAGGGGACGCATCCAAGACCCTGGGCCAAGGGGCCACGTGCAGAACGACCTCTTCCTGCTGGGTCTCGTCACGGACAAGACGACGCACACGCCCTAACGCAGCCGCTCACGGCCGGTGCCTGCCACCATGTGGGGGGGCGCTGGGGGAGTGGATGAGATAAGGGAGCAGGAGTGGGCTTCATGGGAGGAGGGGCCTCTCAGAAACGCAAGGGGCACATGGCAGAGCCGCCGCCTGACCCCAGGTGCAGATGTCCCTGCAGGGTCCCTGAGGGCCAAGGGCACCAGGGCTGTGCTCCAGGAGGAACTGGCCGAGGCCGTCCTCCCAGGCCACCCGGAGCCCAGAGTGGACAGTGCCAGGTGCCCCTCCCCCAGCTTCCCTGTGGGTGCACTGTGCACGGTGCCCCCGGGCAAACGGCCCCCAAAGTCCCCTCCTTTGCGCTAATGAACTTGCTTTTCTCGGCAGCTGCCCAGGGGATGTCCCAAGCGCAGGACTTGGTGACTGTGAAACTCTGTGGCCGCATGGGACGCACGCGCTCCCGGGGACAGCGAGGGGGCCTACCTGTCACCTCCTCGGACGACGGCAGCCCCGAGGCCTGCAGTTCGGCGGGGACCGGGCCGCCGCGCTCCAGGGCGCCCACCAGCTTCCGCAGCCGCTCGCACTCTTCCCACAGCCGGGCGTGGTCCTGGCGGAGGCGCTGCTGGGCCTCGCTGGCCGGGTTCACCGTCATGTGCAGCACTTTGGTTCTGCCCTGGTCGTAGTCGCCCTGCGGAGCACAGGCAGCGGTCAGCGCGGCCTCGGCTCTCAGGATCGACAGTGGGGCACCGACTGGGAGCAGCCGGGCCCCTAAGCCCTCCTCCCGCGTGCGCGGCCCTGCCAGGCGCGGCGCCTCCGGGCTTCTGCCCGTCACAGGGCCACAGCGCCCTCGCTGGCCTCCAGGAGCTGACAGGGACAGACGGGGAAGAGACTGGAGACCCGACACGGCTCTGGAGCACGGGGGACTCAGTTCACACGGGCCCCTCCTTGGTCTTCACCCCGGTGTGCGAGCAGATCGTGACACTGTGTTTAAAAACGTGTGGCACTTCTACACGCCCCACCAGCAACACTGTGGTGACGGGGGCAGGCTTCGTGGGCCGTCACTGTCCTAACGAGAAAGCCACCTCGGCCGCCAGAAAACAAACGAGTGCCGTGTGCCACAGAACGCGTGGAGTTCACCACCCCCAAGTGCCCCGAACGCGGCTTTCCCTGTGACCTTCAACCCTCAAAAGCGTGAAAGCAGAGATGGGCTGGCAGCCGTGTCCGGCCTGGGGCCGCGCATCAACCCGGGTCAGAGAGCAAAGGTCCTCCATTCCCACAGGCCACGAGGCAGGCTCTGAGCGGCCGCCTCCTCCCCGCGGGACCGCCCTGCCGCGCCCTGGAGGGCCCCGTGGGGACCGGGCGCACCTGGAGGTCCCCAGACTCAGGTGAATCGGTGCCTGGATGCCAATGGCCCATGGCTGCCACCTGAGACCGCGGTTCTGACTGGCCCCCCGATCTGGGTGGCTTCCTGTGACGGAGCCTGAGCGCGGAGGACACCTTGGTGTGCCAGGGTGTAAGGGCCAGACCACCCCCAGCGAAGGCAGAAGACAAAACAAAGACCCCCACGGTCCCCAGCGGCTGGGAGGACAAGCCTGTGGGGTCTCCAGGTGCCGGAGTGGGCGGGCCAGGCACCGGACGCCTTGGCTGCTGAGCCCACCCGCTGGCTTGTTGCAGAACCAGTGAGTCCCTAGTGTGGGGACGAAGCTGCAGAAGCTCCAGGTCCCCGAGGCTCTGGCCGGGCGGGAACAGGGATTTGGTCAGTGGACAGCACCACATTTGGGGCGGGACGACCTCTGACCCGGTCCTCACCAGCAGCGACCAGGCCTGTGGTCAGGGTGAGTGAGTGCGGCTGCAGATGGAACCACTGGGCACGGCTTTAGGTGACGTCTCTTAAAACGCTTCAGCATCTGGAAAGTTCCGTGGTGACGGGAGCCACTTCTGTGACCACGGGGCACGGCTTTAGGTGACGTCTCTTAGGTGACGTCTGGAAAGTTCCGTGGTGACGGGAGCCACTTCTGTACACTCACTGGGTTTCTTTACGTGACGCCCAGAGAAGGCGGAGTTCTCTGGGCACTGGGCTGTCCCCGTGCTCGCTCCCTCACCCACCTGCCCACTCAGGCCCCGCTGAGATGTGAGCGAGTGACCAGTGGCGCTGGGTCCCCGGGCAGGCGTGAGATGGCTGAGCACAGCCATCGGCCAGTCTCCAGGCTGCCCGCCATGGTCCCCAGCCTGGCAGGAGGCAGCGGTGTCGAGTCCGTCAGCACGAGGGCGAGGGCGAGGGGCTCCCCTGAACTGGGCCGGCCCTGTGCATCAGGCGGCGAGAATGTCACGTGCCCTGTGAGCACAGCCTGTGGCAATCGATTCTGGGCTGCTGAGCCCACCTTGCCTCTCCATTTCACATTCAAATCGAAGAGTGAGCCAGAGGCAGAATCTGCCGTGTGCTTCTGCCCGAGGCCAGCCTCCAATGTGGTGCCCACTTCCAGGGCCAACCCAAGGACACGGGTGAAGCCTGCCCCCTCCCTGAACTTGGGGTTCCGGCTGACCCCTAGAAACGCTCCTGAGTGGGAAGGGCTGCAGGAGGGGTGACCACACACCTGAGCTGAGGCCGAGCCCCGCCTCACACGGGCAGCCGCAGTGGGAAGGCCCTGGCCCCATGCCCACACCCAACATGCTGCTGGGAGCCAGGGGAGGGGCTCACATCGCACCCTCTGCCCCAGATGCTCCCGGGAAGTCCCCGCTCCCTATTTGGCGCGGTGCACGTGAGGTCTGGGCGCCTGTGCATCCGGCGGCCTCTCGTGACGCACCCGAGGAAAACACGCCAACAAGGCCCCCAGAGTGGAAGGTCATACGGAGAGAGGCCTGTTCTGTCAGCCACCCCAGCAAGTCCCGCCACACAAGTGCCCAGGAGAGACCAGCAGAGTCACCTGCCCACCAGTGGGAGACAAAATGGGTGCAAACGTAAGACACTAAGTTTTGGGGTCTTCGTAACAAAGCAACAAGCAACTGATGCAGCCCCTGGAGGAGGCCCCAAAGAGATAAGGTGGGGTACCACGTCTGAGGCCACCAAAGGTCCCCACCACGGTCCCCACCACGTGGGGGGCAGGCTCCTTGGGAGGCACCTGGGCCAGGGCTTTCGGGACCCTGCAAGGGCTTTCGGGGCTGAGAGGTCACGCTGACCTGGTCGCGTGGGATGGGACAGCTGCGCTGGTGTCCTGCTGGTGGCGGGTCCGTACGGGAGCGAGTGTGCGTGTGGCCCGCTGCGGGGGAGGGCGGAAGCCACCCCGGGCAGGCAGCCCCGGCTCCCCTGCTGCTGGAGCCTGGGGCGCGCCTCAGCTACGGGGTGCATGCCGCGGTGCGTGCCACCACTGGCCTCTCGCCCGGGATCCCACTCGATCCCTCCCAAGACCTCATCTCAGAGGAAATGGGCTGTGAGCGGGGCAGGGAATGGTGGCTCGAGTGCACAACGGTGTGACGGACAAGGCTGCCCGCCTCCGCGTCCAGCCGTTCGCTCAGGCCCTCCAGCCCTGGGGGTGAATGTGGACCCACGCTCCTGCCTTCTGGACGTGGCTAAAATGAGTGGCCAAATAGCTGCTGCTGCAACCAGTCACCACCGCCACTGTGGTGTGGACACAGCCACACATGCACACACGTGAACGCACACCGCCGTGCCACGTGAAACGCCCAGCTCCAGCGTGCTGACTTCTGACGAAGGGCGCCAGCGGCCGAAACCGGGGAACCAAGGCCCTCCTGGCGGAGGCTGCAGGAGGAGGGGCACCGCAGGCACCGGGCTGGCATCTGGGGGCCCAAGGAGCAGGGACGCGGGAAACACCCGTCCTGCAGCCCAGGACCTGCTCCGGCCCCAGCTCCGTGGGCCGAGGAGTGGAGGACGAGCGCCGGTGCGGGCCATGCCGGGCTTGTTCCGTGCGCCTAGAAGCCAGAGCGCCTGGCCGCGGCCGCCAGGGGAGAGGCACCGGCCCGGCCCCAGGACCTGCCACCGCCGCGGGCACCCAGGGCGGTGTGACGCCCGTGCAGCAGGGCCATCTAGGCGAGCAGACGGGAGGAGGGCTGGAAGGGGCGCCGAGCCCGCTGCTGGATGACAGCCTTGGGCGAGGAGCGGGAGGCTGTCATCTCCTGCTGTGAGTCTGGTCCACAGCGGAGGACACCGCTGTGAGGCCGAGACTCTCGGAGGAACCGCTGGGACCTGCCTCTGACGTGCTGGCACGCCGGCCCACCCTGCAAACACGCCCGGGAGGACAGAGCTGCGTTTCTGTGCGTGCAGCTACGCGAGAAGGCCTGCGAGGGGCCTGGGGCGCGTGGCAGAGAAACACGGGGAGCGGGGCTCGGCGGGGCAGCTGCCCGGCACAGGTCTGTGCGGTGGGGGGCACACGGCACACGCAGCATCCACCGTGAGCACGCCCAGGACAGGGCTGGGGCCGGGGGTGCTCCCCGGGAGCCCTGAGCCTCTGGCCCCCCTCCGTGGCTAGACTCCGTGCAAGCTCAGGTGACTGGCCATGTCACCCTGCGTGGGGAAATGGGGGGCGACACCCGCTCTCCCCTGCTATGTTCAAGCTCAGCCCCCAGGCTGCCAGTGGCCCTGAGCCCCAGGTCACGGGCCTGTTCCCATCGCAGGGGTGAGGCTGGTGAGCTTGGCCTTTAAGCACCTCCAGGGTCCAGTGCCTGAGAGACCTGGATGGAGGACAAGCCCCCCAGAGTCCCCTGCCCGGCCTGGGGATGGACCTGCTGTGGGGTGGGGCCATGGCCACTCTGGGCCGGGCAAAGGAAACGCTGCCCGCGGCCACACGCCGGGGAGGGTGCCTGCCACCCTGGGCCTGACTCGAATGCTGAGACTCGCTGGTAAGAGGCAGAGACGCGAGGAGAATTAGAATCCACAGTTAAATAATCGCCCATCCTCATGCATATTTATAAGTCACCCAGCCTCAAAACTAAATCAATAGCTCTCCAGGCTGAAAAAGCAAGCACAGCTCGGGGGGAGAGTGAGAAGCTCTGGGGTGCCCGTGGGTCTGAGGGGCAGGGTGGAGCAGCCCCACCAGAGGGGGTGATGCAGCCCCCGCAGGCCTACCGCACCCCAGCCTGTGGGCCTGCCTCCCCTGCTGCCTGGTGCTCAGGAGCGACGTGACCCTGGGCAGGTCCCCAGGCGCTGGCCTCATGTCCTACACACCTCGTGGGCTTAGTGGGCTCGCAGGGACACGCCCTGCTCTGAAGCTGCGGACACACAGCGGGCTGGCCCCCGGGAGCGGGCCCTCGGGGGTCAGTGTGCTCGCCGCAGCTGAAGAGGATGGAGGTGCCGGCGATAGCACGGCCGGACCCTAAATGTTGGCGCCAGGAGCGGGTGGCCACCTCCTCGCTCAAGGACCGAGAAACTGAGGCCCAGGGAGGACAGGAGGCCCACGCAGCCACCCAGGGCCCGTCACGGGGGGTTGAGGGAGGAGAGGAGAGGCCCAGGGTTGGAGGCGGGAAGCAGGGGTCTGAAGAGAACACAGTGCGAGGGCTGTGGGACCCAGCTGCAGGACTCTGGGGACTGACCCGTCACCAGAGAAGTCGCTGAAGGGAAGAGGGCTCTGCAGGGCTCTGTCTGTCCCCGAGCCAACACGGTGATCACGGGTCTGGCGAGCACGGGGGCCGAGCCCCTCCATTTTTGCTCACCCCCCACAATGGAAGCGCATTCAG